AAAGATTCAAAGGTTCGAAAACGAAAAAGCTTCAAGTCTATAATGGCGAAAATCGCCTAAGGAAGAGGAGAGCGAAAAAGTAAAAGACAGAATGGAGGATAAAGAAAGTGATGGCTGCGGTTTGCCAAAAACGGCTAAACCGCAAATGGTCCCCCTTTCGCTAGCTGCCAAAACCAGCTGGACGGATAAAGATAGTCTCTTTTGAGAAGATTTCGAACCCCCTTATTCTTTTACTCTTTCTCTTAATGCAATTTTATTCAGTTATGTTTTGTGATCTCATAATCATGTCTGAGTAATCTGCTAGTAAAGTTAGGGCTTTTTCAAGGGTTGATGAAGAGATTGTAGAATCGCAATTCTGTTAGGAATATCTTTTGGTTTTTCATCTCTGCTTGCTTTAAAATCAAATTTCTGAGAAACATCATCTAGGAATCCGAAAATCTTAGGTTGTTAAATATGTGTGAGAGCATTATTCATAACCTGAACTAGTATTTGATGAGCAAAACAACTTAGTGAAAAGAGATTTGGCTTAGGAGTTTTGTAAACAACTGAATCTGATCATTCCTGCATGCTTAGGTTGTTAGGGTTTGCAAAGAGATTTGAAACTCTGTGATTTAGGCATAGATAACTTTTGCAATGAGAATTGATTAGTTATACATTAGTGATTCATGTTTAAAACGGTTCTTAATCATTCCTGATTTCATGCATTCTACATTCTTGGATTCAACCTGCGAACTGTCCTGACTTAGCGCTTTTAGTCTTCTGAAGCTTAGATCATCTTACAAAATCGTTTGCTTACTTTTATTCATTCATTCGTACTACATACATCATATCTTGCTTAGCTAAATCCGAACCTACATTCGATAGTGTAGTCTGCATTACTCTCTTGGAATTTCGATACCCCTTGTATTACAACTGCTTTGCCGTGCACTTGCAGTAGTTTTATTTGGGTAAAACCTGAGCCCTATCAACATGCTAAGGACATTGCAGTTGAATCCAATAACGGAAGGGGTTGAACTGTTGGGTTTAGAAGCTGCGGATAGAGCTGACTTGTTGACTAGGATTCGGATTGCTCAGGACCTGGATGAGAATCTGAATAAGATGTCATAGAATGATAAGACGGAATATCAGACTTCAAACAATGGGACCATTGTTGTGAACGGACGAGTATGTGTTCTTAATGTGAAGGAGTTAAAGGATGAGATCCTTAAGGAGGCGCATCATTCAAGGTTTTTTGTTCATCCGGGGATAACCAAGATGTATCAGGATCTGAAACGGTATTATCATTGGGTTGGGATAAAGCATGATGTGGCTAAGTGGGTAGCCGGATGTGTGCCAATTGGTTAAGGCAGAGCATCAGTTTCCAAGTGGTTTGTTGCAAACATTACCAATGCCGGAATGGAAATGAGACATGATCGCCATGGACTTTGTACTAGGTTTTCTAAAGACTAAGAAGTTGCATGATGGAGTATGGGTCATTGTGGATCGTTTGACCAAGTCTGCTCACTTCTTACCTATGAAAAAGACGGATGGAGTACCAAAGTTGGTGGATATGTACATTAGTCAGATCGTGAGGTTGCATGGAGTGCTAGTGAGTATCATCTCAGATCGTGATCCGAAGTTTACTTTGAGGTTCTGGAAAGAGTTCCAGGAAGCGTGTGGGACGCGGTTGCACATGAGTACAGCGTTTCATCCTCAGACTGATGGGCAGTCAGAACGGACGATCAGGATATTGGAGGATATGTTGAGGGCATGCATGCTGGATTGGGGTGGTAGTTGAGAAGACTACTTGTCGTTGGCTGAATTTGCATACAACAATAGTTACCATAGGAGCATAGAGATGAATCCGTATGAGGCATTGTATGGAAGGCCGTGTAGGACGCCATTGTGTTGGATATAAGTGGGGGAGCGTAGCGTAATGGGGCCAGCAGTGGTCGAGGCTACTACAGAAAATATCAGATTATTAAAGGTCAAGCTGAAAGAGGCTATGGATAGGCAAAAAAGTTATGCAGACAAGCGTCGCAGGGATTTGGAGTTCAGTGTCGGTGATATAGTTTATCTGAAGGCACTGACTTACAAGAGAACAGACAGGGCAGCTAAGTATGCCAAGTTGAGTCCAAGGTACATGGGACCGTACCGGATACTGGAGAGAGTTGGCGCAGTGGCTTACAAGTTGGACTTACAATCGGAAATGGGAGCGTTCCATAATGTATTCCATGTATCGCAGCTAAGGAAGCACATAACTGAGCGAGAAATGGTTATTGAGGAAGCACCTGGGGACTTGCAAGAGGACCCTGCAGTGGTTGCTAGGCTGGTTCGGGTGACAGACAGGAAAGAAAAGACTGAGCGTGGGAAGCTGGTCAGAATGGTTCAGGTCGTATGGGACTGTGACGGGCACGTACAGGTTACTTGGGAAAAGGAGCCTAGGATGAAAGCTGAGTATCTCAAATGGTTTGACAAGTTGCAAACAGACAAGTCGGATTCGAGAACGAATCCAAAACGGGTGGGGGAGAGTTGTAGCATCCGTATCCGAGAAAATTCGGAATGATCGAGCTGGACATGGCATTGTCCGAGGAATGATCGAGCCAAGGACAGATATTGGCTGGGAACTGGGTGGTTCAGACTATGGTCAGATGATGACTGGGAACTAGTTGGACGGATGGCTGGGATAGCCGAGCCGGATGGACCATATCCGAGAGAAAATGGTCCAGTCCGTGAGAAAATGGGATTTATCCGAGTGATAGTGAGGTTAGTCCGAGTGACAGTGGACTGTCTCCGAGGGAAAGAGGAAAACCTCTGAGAGGAAAAGAGGATTAGCCGAGGTGGGACAAGTTGTCCGAGAGAAAAGAAAATATCCGGTTGAAAAATAGAAATAACTCGGATAAGGGCTGTTTATCCGAGAGGGAAGGGAATTGGGCCGTGGGCCAAGTGTTTTGTCGACTATTTTGTTGGTTTATCGCACAGATGGTCAGTCGGTATAGGGAATAGCCGAGAGAATCTAATCGGTTCGAGATAAATCCTACTGAAACCAGGAAAATGTCTGTTAAGTCCGAGTTACCTAAGGTTTTGCGAGTATATAAGGATTTTTGAGACTTAACTCGAGGGTGTTGCATTTATTTGAGCTAAATAAAGCAAAGAGAGAGTTTAGTCGAGAGAAAACCCTAAGAAAAGCAGTTTATCCCGAGGACATCCGAGAGAGATTGAGCTATCGTCGAGCAGATCTGACCATCGCCGAGATAAATTGGTAAGCGACTTAATAATTTCCTAAGTATCGAGTTTCTATCGGATAACCTCGAGCTAATAGCCTTGTTTTGTGGGGTTTCCGAGGGTAAACAGAGTTTGGCTCGGAGAAAGGTGAACGGATCGAGAGATAGCCGAGGAGAAAGGGATCAGATCGACCAAGAGCCGAGAGATTCCTAGGGTGATCGGTTATCTTCGTTTCCACGCGTATTTCATCGGGATTTCTTCTGACCAATCCTTTTCCAGCCTTGTCTAAGGTGAGTGTGTGACTGTGGTTGGTTTCTAGGATCGTTGGATTGCTAGGGTTTAATGTTTTGCATGTTTGATTGTGTGATTTTCATGTTGTGTGTGTAGAACTGATAAGCGATTATATGTTATGGTATTGTGAGGTGTTACTGTGGCATAGATGATGTCTAGCTAACCTCAGGGTAATCTGGATCATGTACTAGCTTAGAGGATGTGGGATTCTCGCTGAAGTAGACATGTGTCTTAAAAAGAGATTGATCTTGGTTGGTTAGGTTAGATGATCATGGCCGTTTGATATATATGTTATGTCTATTGCGAATTGATTGTGTGGGATGTTGAATCCGATAGTATAAATGCGTGAATGGTACTGACCAGATGTTACGGGATGACCGTACTCACTAAGTATTTATCAAATACTTATGCCTCTCTTCTTGAGTGTGCAGGTAATAAGCAGTAAAGGGAGCGAGACCAGGCAGTAGTGATGAACATGGATAGATCGGGGATTGGGTGTTTTCTGTTAAAGACTTGTGTTTAGGGTCTTATGGCTTTGGTGTTTGATCGTTAGGTTGCTAGATGATCAGTTGTAATCATTAGCGAACCTTGTGTTTTGATTTATGTTGAACCCCGAATCCTGTTTAAGTGTTTTTATTCAAGTTATAATGAAATGAAGTTGTTCTTTATCCTGATGTGTATTGGTTTAAAAACCGAACTGTTAGGATGTAGTGGGGCACGGCTGCGGTATAGTTTGCCGGGTCGGGCTACCACACCATCCTTACACCGGTGGAGAGGAAGTAATGGTTGGCAATGACACAAGTTTACCCATAACTCACACGGGTTCTACCTTCTTACCATCTTCCACTCACGCTATGCACATTTCTGATATATTATATGTACCTGAAATTAAGAAAATTTTAATTTCAGTCTACAAGTTATGCAATGCTAATAGAGTTTTAGTGCATTTCTATCCTTCGTGTTTCCAGATGAGAGATCTTCAAACGGAGGCCCCATTGCTCAAGAACGCACCAAAAATGATTTGTATGAGTGGCCTAGCACAGATCTATCCCCATCAGCATTCGTAACCAACTGCACCAATATCAAAACCACCATTACAGACTGGCACTCAAGGCTAGGCCATCCCTCTTATCCTATTTTCAAAACTATTATCAATAGCAATCTTTTACCACTTTCTGAAACTTTGTCAAACTCTCTCTTTTGCATCAGATTGCCTATCAAATGAAAGTCACAAACTTTTTTTCTCCATAATTACAACTCTAATTCGATGATGGATCTTTCCCAAAAGATTTTCATAAAACTTTTCGTGTAGAATGAAAATTCCTTTGACTCACTTTTTATGGCTTTTAACTTTTTTTTTTTTGCCAGTAATGAAAAGACAAAAAAATACACTCTTACGACGTGATGAGCTAGCTGGTCTAGTCATTGCCAGTTTTGGAGTCTTGGGAAACAAGGTAATCTATTTTCGTAGAATCATAAAGAAACCCTTTTTCATATGAGATTACCGTATTATTATTATTATTATTATTACTACTATATTTTCATATGAGAGAATGGCGTTTTCACAATCTTTAGCGAGAAGCTTTGATACTTAATTGTATGGTTGCAGGGGAATCAGAATATAGAAGCAGAAAAAGCACACACAAAAACAAAAGGTACATGAAGTTCGGAGGACTTGCAGTACAGAACAGTCCTCTTGGACGGATTAACGTTGACTTGATCTTTGGGGTACATCGATCACAAGATGCCACATGTCCCTAATATCGCAGGCACAACGATCCCAAGCTTATACAACGTCTCTCTATCGTGCAGATTTTCGTTTTCTCTCTGTGCTTTCTCGAGATCCTCCCTTAGCTTAAGGATCATTTTCTCGTGTGTAGCAGAAGTCTCTTTAAGCGTATTCTCCACCTGAAAGAGAGGTCTCGTTGGATACCGAAATCATTAGTGTGGCACAAAGTTTAGGGAATACAGATTTACCATCTTTTGCATTTCGCTCATCCTATTGTCATAAGAATCTTGTAATTCCTTCTTCACTTTTTCCAACTCTACTTCTCCAAGGTTCTTAGCTTCAACCTCTTTTTGCTGTTCCTTAAGCCTCTCAGCCTCTTCCTGAGAAATACAACAGAAGATTTAAACATTAACAACAATGTTCTGTCATTACAAGAAACAAACATGGATTTTAGATGCCATTATTCGTAGGAAATTTGGCAAAAACATGTGCTTCCGCTGACTTTCCGACTAACAAATATTCATCATAATTCGAGCATCAAAAATCTAGATTTGTTGGAAAATCGTCAGAACATTTTCAATAGTTGTCTTAAGATGCATTTCATGTGTAGTGGAGAGGCGAGGCGTATCCATATTTTCACCTTTATCTTAAGATGCATTTCATGTGTAAACGGTTTCCCACCATTGCTATTTCCAATCGATGCGACTTGGCCAAGAAACTGCTGGACTTGCTCGACTTTCTTGCCTTCATCCGTAGTCTTATTATTAAACAGAACCTTTCTTCCCCCACACTCTCTGAGAACTATCTGAAATTGCACAGTCAACTCAACATACATATATTAATGGGCAGACTCGTGCAAATAATCCAAAATTCAATAACCATTATCATATATGACCGACCTTCAGAAATTCAGGGCAACCTTGAAGAAAATAATCGTCCAGAGTTTGGTTGTTTGCTTCCAACTCATCACCTCCCGTGAATAGAACAATCAGATATTTAATGATTTCACTCCCGAAAAGGACCTGCAAGGTACTAAGTGTGTTCTCTTCCTCTTGGGTAATCCGGTTTCTCACAGATAGAACTAACACCACAACATGTAATCCTTCTTCCGCCAGGGTAAGACATTTGATGATTTCTTTACTAATGAATTCAGCAGACACCGACATATCAAACAAACCTGTATCACATTAAACCCTGAATTTGATTAATAATCGATATGATTGGTTCCAAAAAACTATGTAACATCAAGTAATAGAATGACAAAAAAAAAAGACTCGCGGGATTTTAAGCCAAAACATACCAGGAGTGTCAATCACGTTGATTAGCTGACCATCCGGAGTCACAGCTCTAGATGTCGTACACGTCGTGGTAACACCCGATGCCTGCAATTCTGAGATGAACACTTCTCGTCCGATGAGGGAGTTTCCGGTAGCACTTTTTCCGTTTCCGGTACGCCCCACCAAAACTATGTTTTTCACTGGCTTTGACGCTGTTGGCAGATCCGAAAGATTCATATTTAGCTGTTTGACATTCAAATTACTTGTAAATATTAGGTCAACGTTACAGCCTTGCTAAAAAAAAGGTAACGACTGTAAGTAAAGTTATTTGTACATACTTACCCGGGAAAGCTCAAATAATTCGGAAAAACTATTTTCAAGTATTACAATACGAAGAATAATATGAGACGCACTTGTCAAACAAAGAGTAAATCACAAAAGTTAAACTCAAAATGAATCAACTAAACAACCAGAGTATAAATAGAAGATAGCTTACCCAGCGCGCGTTTTGTGGATTGTTGTGTGATCTTTCTTGTGTGGCACGTTATGTTTTCTTTGACAAAAGAAATGCTATGTCATGTTTGACATTTTGAAGATTTAAGTTTTAAAATTACAATTATTTTGTCCCATTTGAGTTTATTTGGGTTTGAAATAAATAACCAAGTCTTTTGGAATATATTATAGATTTAGAAGCTTCAGCACAATTTACAATAATATAATTAGGGCATTTTCTAATAACCTGAATTGTTTGACATTTTCCTTTTAAATTATGCCAGACTCCTTCTAACTTAAAATAGAGTGAATTAAATAAATTAGCCCAATAACTAAAATCAATCTGAATTACTGTAGAAAAAATGGAAACGGTCAATATTTGTAAATATAAATAGGCTTGGATCATTTAATAACAAAAGCAATTCTCAAGTAGCTGAGCTAAAAAAATGTACCAAACCTGTTTCGACCAAGTTCTATGTGGGAAATAATCAGAAATATGAGTAAATAGTTTCAGTATTGACGATTACAAGTGTTTACAAGAGAAATAAAAAGAACATGAAGTGAAATGAGAGCCAAGAAATGATTTTTTAATGATAAGTGTACATGTAAAAAGACTAGTGTTGTAGTTGAAAAAGGGTCCTCCCAAAATCTACAATTATTTTCGAGTTTGCTGGTTATTTGGAATGCTTCTTGATCACTGTGCTACTTTTGATTTTATAATTATTTAATTTATTCATGTGAATTTAGCCGTTTTTAGGGTCAAAACATTGACTTATGTAATTGTAGAAAACATGCACACACAATCAATAACTTGGAAAGCGCCAAATCGAACGTTAGGTTTTACTATTTCGAATCAACAATTTAATCAATTGATTACAATTGCTTGGATTTATGCAACTCTACTCTTAGAAAGCAACCAAACGATTCCTCGTAACAAAACCTACTCTTCTCTTGATCCTACAATACGTGTATCAGAGAAGAGGACACTAACCTTCTTACTTCGTCTTTGTTTGAGGTACAAGGTAAACTGTATCAATTGCGGTGCAAAGTGTGTACCTGTACTTTACCCGACTTCAAACTATATATACTCTACTAAGCCTAAACCTAGACCCCTATTACCAAACTCTCGTAAGGTAAGTTTCCATTTGTTCTCCTTACGTGCTCTCCAAGCTCCTCCTTGAATTGCCACGTCATTAGCTCCACATCAGCTACAAGCTTCCTTTCTGTATCCTGATATCCCGCCTGAGTTGTTTGCTGATTCCACATCTTCAATCTTCCCCTTTTTGACTTAGTTTGATACTTAAGCATCTCCTCAAGAGTAACCTGATAAGTCAGCACAAAGCAAACAGCAGAACACAGAACACACACACAAGAGCAAAGGATTCCCTACGATTAAACCAAGCTGGTAACGTTAAGGTTCTTAAGTTACAGACCCAAGAATCAAAGAGCGACTTTAAAAGCTAAAGTTCTGTGCACTCAACAAAAACAATCAAAAGAGAAAAACAGAAAAACTAAATTTAGTTCACTTCTCCCCCATTAACCCTGCTCCCCCATATTGTCCTGTGAATCTCCCCCTGCTTAAGAGCATAATTAAGTCAAAAACATTAGGTGAACAGGCAACAGAGAAGAGATCAGAAAAAAACTTACCTCCCCGAAGTAGTCTGCTGATGATAGACACAACTTGTATCAGCACACGACGATCGGCAGCCGTAACAACCAGAGAGGCAGTGGAGGTCGTCGCAACTTCCACACCATCTGACTTGCCCTCATTCTTCACGCTGATCACAGGAGGTGCACGAAACGCCAGCACAGGATCCATCCGAACACCAGAATCAATAGGAATGGGTCCCTGACGCACGATCATCTTGTAGATTAAACTCGGATACGGCAGAAGAAACTTAGATCCCAGATGTCTTGCAAGACTGAGGATGTGGTCAAACACCATTTCACCAAAGTCAAAAGAAACCTTAATGAGAATCTTGTGCACCAGGCGAGCACGATTCTTGTTGGAGAAACCAGTGTTGAACGTGGGTATCCAGTTGTGACAGCTGATCTTGAAGAGAGCCCACTTGTCAGACTGATAATGACCTAAAGCCAAATTTTCCCACACACTCACGCTACCACCACTCATAAACATTGCCAGTTGATCATCAGAAAGTAACTCCTCCCCCACATTGACACTCTCCATGGCCATTAACTCAAGCCCAAAAAGTTTATTGATGACAACTGGTGAGAAGACATACTCATTACCTCGCAAGACCAGCCGAACTTCACCATCGGAGGTCTTGTTATCAGGGAGATGTGCCCAGAACTCGCGAACCACCGTAGGTTGAAAGCGATTGATCCCGGAGACAGTCGGAATCAGTCCAGCCTCCTGAATGCTGGTCTCAACTCTGGCGGGAAGTGATTTCAGATCAACCTCACGCTCAGCAAGAAAGTTCCGATTGAGAAATAAATCGAAGCGATCACTGGCTTGCTGAGTCGAAAAATGAGACTCATCGAACTGAGGGGGCGAAGAGGGAGCTTTCTTCTTCGATGGTCGGTTCTTCTTCTTCAAGGATTCGACTGGCGACGATTCATCTGCCTTAGACTCAGATTTGATGCGATGCTTGCTTCGATGGGTGGCACGAGCACTGGAGACAGATGGTCGTTTGGCAAAGACAAATTCCAGAGAAGGAGATCGGCTGCGACTCCGAGACTGCGCAAAGGATTCTGCATGTTGCGATGTTGGTGAAGACACGCGAGGAGGCGAAGCGACACGAGACACCGAGTCAGCTGGAGGAGGAATCTTGGGGACATACGGCACGATGGCCAAACAGTCGGAAGATCCGAGGTTGTCAGAGCCACCAACAAGAGCCGGGGGTGCTTCATCAACGGCCGTACTGACCGGAGCACCAACGAAACGAGAGAGACCGGAGAGAAACGACTTCATCGCTAGGGAACTGTGACTGACTCAAACCCTAGGCAAATGAGCAGTTGGAAGATAATGACTCAACTGTTCACTTTCCCTCTCTTATACCCTAGAAGCACCGTTTCCCTCCAAACGACACATAACTTCGCGGGCCTGAAAACATGCTTTTAATGGGCCTGCACAGAATGTCTCACAGCAAAAACTCAAAAGATGAGCAAGTCAGATCCATTAACGGTTAGGAAACACTCAACCAATTCATCAGACAGAGAGTACTAGTATAACAGTCTGTCCATCAACACACAACGGGCACTTCATTGTCACTAAACACAGACTTGGTGATAAGGAACTCAAGGTGAGGGGAGAAACAAGCCAATTACTCATACCTTATCACATGTGTATGCACTCGAGGACATCCTCCTGATGATCCAGAACATGGAACAGACTCGGTCTCAGCCACCCATGGTATACAAAAACTAAAATAAATATATGAGTCTCTGGATTCAGGGGTTGACTTTCACACTGAGATACCTTTATCCCTGGTTCAGAACAGCTTTCAACCCCGGCAGTTTCTGTACTGACACGTCAAAGCCTTTTGACAGAGAATAGACCAGTGATAATGTAAGTGCCATCACTGATGATTGTCCATCTCAGGCCTATCATTACGAAGACACCGGTGCTACATGGTCTTGTCACTCAGCCAGATCCACTTTAATATTACGCTTTCAGATTTGTATTATTATTTTTTTTTTATTTGATCTGCTGAGGACTCACACTTTCTCCAGCTCATGTGTCAGTTTATGGAAGCCTGCAACTAGTGTTGATTGACCAGAGACGGTACCTCAGGCAGCCTTCTACCACTGAACACTACATATACAGAGACCCACCCTTTTTTAAAAAAAAAAACTGAAATCTGGTGCTGAGTCCGCTCCTGTTCATGTTCCTGTCCAAAATCACAGGAACTCACACACATATGATTAGTACTCGCAGACACCAATGGACTTCCTCAGACTGATAAATCTGTTGATATCCAGTGGTTTAGTGAATAAATCAGCAAGCTGATATTCTGTGCTCACGTGGCTGATCTCAATTAGTTTTTCCTCAACAAGTTCTCTTATAAAGTGATGTCTGATATCTATGTGTTTAGTGCGTGAGTGCTGAACAGGATTTTTAGCAATATTAATAGCACTCTCATTATCACAATGAATTAGAAGAGATTTAGATTCCATACCATAGTCAGCGGTCATCTGCTTCATCCACAAGAGTTGAGTGCATCCACTCCCCAGAGCAATGTATTCGACCTCCGCTGTCGATAGGGAAACACTGTTTTGCTTCTTGCTATGCCAGGATATAAGATTGTTCCCTAAGAAGAAACATCCTCCACTCGTGCTTCGTCGATCGTCTAAACATCCTGCCCAGTCAGCATCACAATACCCTGCAAGATTCTGATTGGTGTCGACGGTATATAGCAGTCCCATATCTATCGTTCCTTTGACATACTTGATAATCCGCTTGACCGCTTGGAGATGAGACATCTTAGGATTTGCCTGATACCGAGCACAGATACCCACGCTGAGACAAAGATCAGGTCGACTTGCAGTGTGATAGAGAAGACTTCCAATCATTCCATGATACAGCTTGGCATCAATGTCCTCTCCCTGTGAATCGCGCGACAGCTTGCAGTTTGTAGCCATGGGTGTCCTGGCTATCTTACTCTTGTCAAGACCAAACCTCGCAACCAAGTTCTTTGCATAGGTGCTCTGAGTTATAAAGACACTCTCGTCTGATTGCTTGATTTGAAACCCCAGAAAGTAATTCAGCTCACCAACCATACTCATCTCAAACTCTCTTGTCATTATGGCAACAAACTCATCTACCAGCTTTTGATTTGTAGCTCCAAAAACAATATCATCAACATATATTTGCACTACCATGAACCCTGATTTTCGGTGAATGATGAGCAGTGTCTTATCAACACTCCCTCGCTGATAGCCGTTTTTCATCAGGAACGTCGTCAGCCTTTCATACCATGCACGAGGCGCTTGTTTCAGACCGTAGAGTG